ACGTAATGTTTTTCTACAATCTGTGTCCTGGTCCTTTATTCAGGCACCCAGACAATTTGCTAACTTCTCAAAGTACAGCAGCACCCTGGAGACACAAATCTAAGGGGCACCTGGCTGACTCAATTGGTAGAACATGTGACTCTTCATTTTAGGATTGTGATTTGGAGCTCAGGAGGGGTGTAGAGATTACTTAAAAAAAAAATAAAAAGAGGGACACCTGGGTGGCTCAGTTGGTTGTCTGCCTTGGGTTCCAGTCATGATCCTAGGGTCCTGGGATGGGGCCCACATCGGGCTCCCTACTCACCGGGGAGTCTGCTTCTCCCTCTTCATCTGCCCCCCACTCCCACTCATGCTCTCAAATAATAAAATCTCTAACAAATGATAAAAAAAAATTTTTTTAAGTTGTCATCCACTGAGGTCCAACTTGCCTCCAGAGTAACCATCGTAGATAACCCCCATTATTGGATTTGTTGTTTTGAGGATTAAGGGAGGTAGAGATTGGCAATGGAAACCTAAGTGATGGTATTGTATTGCACAGGTTTCTTTTTTTTTTTTTTTGTTCCAGTTATAATTTCTTTAGACAGAGGACCTGCGCTGATTTAAAGTATTTCTCTGAAAGGAAATCGTCAGAGCTCTAGAGACCAAGGAGGGCAGGTGCTATGGGACACCTGGATAGGTGAGGAGGGGCACTAAGCAAAGGCCAGTAGCTGAGAACATTGTGGGGTTTCCCTGGCCAAAGCAAAGGGCACGAGGCACACTGAAGGTACCTAAGGTACCTGATGGCGTGGCCAGGTAAAGAATCATCTTGACTTTTTGAAGCCATTCAGTTGTTATCAGATTTATAATTTCGGGCACAAAAAGGGACTAAGCCAGTAGGACTTGTTTTTCTGACATCTAGGCTGCTTGTAATCCAGGACCTTGTGAGCTTGGGACTTCAGTCCAGGAACAATTAAGATTTACCTTTACCATTGCCTCACCCTCACTACTCTCTCTGCATATACCGAGCATTCTCTGAAGTTGGGAGATGAGGTCAGATGGGATGTCCAGTGTGTGGGTACTGAGAGGAATGGGAATAGTGGTGGCAGTAACAATGACAAGTAGCAATGACAAGCTCTTAAGTTCCAAGGCCTCTTCATGGATCATTTCATTTCAGTTTCACACCATCCCTGAGACAGGTACTAGAGCTAGCTTTTCCTTTTCACAGATGAGAAGTCTGTGGAGTCACAGAAGTGATAGAACAGCCCAGCTTACTCAGCTGGTTTTTGACAGAAGAGCAATCTGAACCACAAGGTGTTGCTCCAGAGTGTGACCAATCTGCTAGAGGGTGAAGGTCCCCTGGCTTGCATGGACCCAGGAGTTCAGAAAAGGCTAATTTTCAGTGGTACCCTTCTCAACAAGTAGGCTTCATGATGCTTGAATGCTTATTATGTTGATGGAGGCTCCCTTCCTTTCTGGAACATTGACTAGTTTGACAAGTCTCCGATTTCCAAGGTCATTGCTTCCCCTCCCTGCAAGCCAGCACTGACTGGCTCCTTTCCAGTCTTCAGGCCCTTCATCCATCTACCATTGCCCTCAAAAATAACTGCTTAATGGCTCTCCAGTAACTGCAGCCAACTCTTTAAGGGCTCTTGAGAAGAGATCATGTGGGAAAACTAACAGAACTCATCCAACTTTTAGAAGGGAGATTTGATCAGCTGTTTCCTTGCCTCCACCTTCCCAGATTATCTAAATTGGTTGGTCTTCTTCACTTCTGAGCTCTCTCAACCAGGAGCACATGAAGAGCAAATCCATTTTGGATATAAAGTGCAAAAGTTGGGAGGGAAAGAGAGGGATGTTTAAAGCCAGAAGGTTCAGACACAGTTCTGAGACCAGAATTCCTTTCCTGCATCCAGCTCAAGACTATCGACTTCACCTGGTTGCTATGGAAACATCAGTTTCTGTTGGATGGCAAGCAGCACTTTTGACAGAAAGCATCACAGGCTACCATGGTAACATCAAAAAGAGTAAAGCTGCATTCTCTCTTGGGAGGGGTGTGGAAGGAACGGAGGACACCAAGGAAAGCAGGCAGGAAGGGACGAGCTGACTTAACAGAGAGAGAATTAATTCAACACACATCTAGTATGTGCAAAGCAAAGCGATAATGAAGAAAACATGTCTATGGCTTGCCTCATCGGGCTATAATCTAGCAATAGAATTTTAATTGTAAATAAAGGCAGAATGAAACTTGTAACAGGACAATCTTGAAGAGGGAAATGAACTAGCAAAGCTTCAGAGTCTTAAAGGACAGGATTCTGACCAGAAGAGGAGCAAAAAGAGAACAAAATGAGCAGACAAGGAAGTGGAAAAGTCCAGGACATACTGAGAACTCTGAGTATAAAAGTAGAAAAAGCAGCTCCTAGGCCTTGGCTCTCAGGAGACACAGGCTGAGATTAGGATCCAGGGATCTGAAGCTAGACTAGCCTGGATTGGAATCCCAAACTTGCTGTGTAATCACAGGGCAGGTTACTTACCCACTTGGGGTATCCATTTCCTTGTTCACAAAGCAAAGATGGTAAGAGTCTACCTCAGAGGGTCATTATGAGGATTAAGCAACTCAATGCATATAAAGTGACTAGAACGATGCTTGACCCACAACTCTGCACCAATGTTGACAGTTACCATCATACTACACCTCCCACTTTTCGAAGCCAGCTCAGCCTCTCCTCACTGTCCAACTAATAATTCCTGATTCTCACACCTTCTGCAATAGGGAAAGGAGAGGCTGTGGTTGACCATCTCCCTTCAAGATGTAACCTCATTTCCTCATAAGCACCAGGACTAAAAGTTCAAAGCGCAAACCTGCTTCCTCTGGTCGCTCACATCTGGGGGCTGCTGAAGCTTAAGAAGGAAGTAGGCAAAAAAAATAAAAATAAAAAATAAAAATAAAAAAAAAGGAGGAAGTAGGCAGAAACCCAAATTCAAAAACACGTTTAAGTTTGAAGAACAGGGAGGAAATACCACCACCTTAGAGAAGACAGAAGCATAGGCTAGAAGTCAAAAGTCAGGTGAACATCTCCCATTTAGAACTGAGGACAGATGGGCAATTGTATGCAAGAGGATCATCTCAGCCAGTCTCTCTACCCATACCTGAGCCATTATGCCCAGGCAATAGAAACTGAGGAAGGTTTCTTTTACCTTAGGAGGATATTTGCTGCCCCATCCCCTCTACTCCAACCACCCTCAATGCAGGGATGAGTAACTAGAAGGCATTGAGTCACATGCAGTGACTCTGGCTGTCAGCCACTAGATGCTGTCACCTTATAGGGGTTAAGACTAGAGTAGCTGTCTTAGATGTTTCCTCACTTCCCTCATAGTCTCTCCCCCACCAAGAGGCTGTATGAGAAACTAAGAACGGTTCGGGGTGGTGGTGGTGAACTGAAGTGGAAGGAACCAAACTGTAGGAAGGCCAAAGTAGGCAGGGATGGGAATATAAGGAAACCAAGCAGAGACGGGAACCCTTCTGAGGCAGGCAGGGAGGCAGACAAGGCCTGTGGTATTTATGTGGTTATTTTTTTTTTATATTTTATTTACTCATAGAAACACACACACACACACAGAGAGAGAGAGAGAGAGAGAGAGAGAGAGAGAGAGAGAGAGAGAGAGAGAAGCACAGACACAGGCAGAGGGAGAAGCAGACTCCACGCAGGGAGCCCGACATGGGACTTGATCCCCGGTCTCCAGGATCACACCCTGGGCTGCAGGCAGCGCTAAACCGCTGTGCCACCAGGGCTGCCGGGTATTTATGGTTTGAAGGAGTTCGAGACTACCATGAGGAAGCCTGGTCCCAAGCTTCAGAACTAACAAAAATGGTCCACATTGCTTTTCAGGATGCATTAGCAGCCAAATCAATGACTACAGGGGGACTGGGCTCTAGCCAGCTACTATGTAAAAACAATGCATCCTCCTTCCCTTCCCCCAGACCCAGAGAGCAAACCAGGACAGGGAAAGGGTGGGGGTGGGGGCAAAGGCAACAGGAGCAGCAAGTCAGGCTGCCACAGCCCAGAGGAATCAAGAGCTAGTCCTGGGTCCTAGTGGCCTTTTATGTCACAAGCAGGTGCCAAGTACCTAATACTTCAGTGTGAAAAGCAACCCCAAAAGCTAATACCACCAAGAAACCTTTACTCAGCTTAGGAAAGTCTGAGAGCAGACAAATTAAAACCTAACAGCAATTATCCATATTTTTAGCATGACAATAAAATCTTAACATTCTGTTGCCATAGAGACCGGTAGAGAATGGAGGAGTCCTACAGAGCTCTGCCCCAGAACCTCAGACCTCCTCTAGGCTGGTCCCTACCTGGTGAGCCAGGTTGTGGCAGGCCCCTTGTCATAATAAGCCTTACAAAGCAGGTGGAGGACAATGTGTATCCCCTTCATCAGGGCAATTCTTGGAATACTCAGCTTTCTGGAATTCACTGGTCCCAGGCCTATGCTATCCCCTGTGCTACCCAAGCAGGGCTATACATGGAAAGCAAGAGTTGAGGGGACGAACAGCAGACTTCAGGCCTGGGGAGCCTCGATGGATGATGCCCAAACTCCTGTGGATACTGAACTGGGAGTTCCATAACAAAGAGAGCCAAAGACGGACACAGAGGCTAATGGTCAGAACGGGGAGCTTAGGTTTCTTTGGTACTTAAGCTCCTCAAGATCACAAAACACCTCTAGCTGAGGGTGCAGAATGTGCTACTGTCACAGTGCCATCTGGTGGAAAGACAAGATCTGTCCTTAGGCAGAGTCCAGCCTGGTGGTGCGCCCAGTGGGCACGGTAGGTTTGGAAATAAATTTAAGATGGGGGGAGGAGAGGGAGGAAAAAAAGGAAATAGTTAAGATGAAGACATATGGAGGAAACCCACGGGGCCGAGTGTATAATGCAGACAGATGGGGAACTCTATCCAAGTGTGTGCCTTTTGTCCATTTTAATTTCTAGAGAAGGTTAGATAAAGTAAAATTGAAGGGACAAAATACAAAGGCATTATAAATGTTTTATATCCCTAGAACCATTCACGGTTTTGGCTCATGAGAAGTTATTAACATCAAACACACCAACTGACCGAGACCACATACATATGGGCAGCAGCTGCCAAAAACAGTGGAGCTTGCCATTTATACAAAGTTTATACATATATATGTATGTGTGTACACACAGATACACATACATACATATACATATATATCTTATATACACAGACACAAGGGTATAAAATCCAGTGAAGAGGGCTCACATGTGCCCAGGTAGGGGACAGGAGCAGCTTTCACAGCTGGGGTTGAGCCCATGGTAGAGGCACATGGGAAATAGCAGAGTAGCAGCCTCCTCTCCATCCTCCCACCCTGGGCCACAGGAAGGACATGGGAGGAAAGACAACTATACAAAGGAAGATGGAACATATAATGGAAAGGTACCCCACCTTTCACTAAACTCCTGAATGCTCCGAAGACACCCAAAATGCCTGGCAGGACAGATGATTCCCACACCTCCCAGCAAGATGCTGAGCCCACAGTAGCAGTTCTGGCCCCAAGCTGAGGCCTAAGGCAGGCTTCACAATGTGCATGTCCACACCATCTTCCAGGGCCTGTGCAGCAACAAGCCAGCACCTTCATGGCTCACCCCCCAAACTCCAAAGTCCTCTTACACCAGAGGTCTTAAGGGTTTCCCTCAACAGACTGTAGGGTAGAGGTACAGGAAAAGGAGAGAAGTTAGTTCCTTCAATTAATGCCCTATGGCCTTCCCAATGGGGGAGGAATCAAGGAATCACTAAGAGGTGGTTGGGAAGAGCAATGAAGGTCATCCCAGGAGATGACATATGAGGAGAGACAGGTGCTCAATGCAGGTGCAGATTCTGTCCTCTTCGACTAGTGGCTTTGCTCAGCGGAGTCCAGTCCCAATGGGCCCTGGGCAGGAGCTCTTCTTGAGTCTAAGGGTGGCCCCAAATTCCCGCAGAGTCAATGTCCACGCCTTCAGGATGGCTTGGTCCATAAAATGGAGAAGGGGCCATGTAAGGGTAGATGTGGAGAAGGGAGTGGCAGGACCCAGAGGCACAGGGAGGCAGTGTACTGCGCCACTGATTTACCTATGGCAAGGAGAAGAGGTAAACGGAAAGCCACAGGAAAGAAAGTAACCAGTGACTTAACTGAGCCAGCCCCTGAGACTCACATGGTCTGAGGGGTGAAGAGGCTGGAAAGCTGGAAGCACTGGGAGGCAATTGCCTGGGAAGCGAGGTTCAGTGCTGGGCTCAGAGCTGTGAGAGAGAGGGAGAGAGAGAGGGAGAGAAGAGAGAGAGAGAGAGGAGAGGCACAGTGAGTTACTGAGCACAGATCATTCCTTCTTTCCGGGCTCCAACCCTTCCTCCCTCTCCCAAGTCCAAGCCTACCAGTCAGAGCCGCAGGGTTCAGGCCCCCCAAGGGAACTGTCCCATTTAGTTGCAAGGCGGCAGCAGCTTGGGCTGCGGCAGCAGCAGCTGCAGCTGTGGTAGGCAGCTGGATTCCAGAGCCTAAAAGGGAAAGTAAAGTTGGTGTTAAGTCCCAATCTCGGATCTAAAACTCAACCCCACACTCTTCACTCTACAGAGAAACTCTCTCCACCTTCTGCCAATTTGGCCATGAGCTGCAGACGTCCACCTGCCGATCCCAGATCCAGCTCCTGGTCCCCATCCGGAAAAGTGATATCTGTGCCACCATCCAGTCGCTCAGTCACATGGCCAACTCTCATAGGTCGACCAGCAAGCTCAAAGCCATTCAGCTGTTCCAAGGCCCGCCGGGCACACTCGGAGTCTGAGAACTACAAGAAACACAGGCCATTATCAGTCACTTACTGGCCACAGACATGCTCTCCAACCTCCACTACCACTGCCTAGTCTTGCTATCCCAGGAAAATTGCATGCTCGCTGTGGCACAAATTATTGTCTTAGGGAGTGTGACCTAAGAGCCTCATCCCTCCAAAATGATCATGTGACAAGAACCTTTTCCAACGGACTCAATGGCAAACTTCCAGCTCCACTAAGAACCCAACAAAGGCAAAAAGTCTGTTATCTTTAGGGTGGCCTACACTTATAAGCTGCTTCACAAGTGAGCATATAAATGGAAGTACGACAGGCTGAAAGTCAAGATTCCTGGGCTTTTATTTACACCCTTAGGACTGATCAATTTCAATTCTCAGTCAAAAAGTAGGAATCTGAAACCCCAGAGCCCAGTGGTAGGAGGGAGTGCACCCTGGAATGGAGAGCAAGACCGCACCCCACCCCTATGCCTATACCAGTGCTGTTGATCACAGAGAGCTCTACTGTCCAGCAGCACCAGAGCAGCCGCGTATAGAGAAGATTCCAGACTGCTGTTGAAGTCTCAAGGGTGTTGACAAAAAAAGCAGCAACACAAGAGCAAAAAGGCCTCACAAAAGCTTTTCTGCATCCGAGTCACACAAGGAGTTACAAGAGGTTCTTGCCACCATGAACACCAGAGCTGGCTTTGTTTCCTCTGGTAGCCCCTGCCCTAGGGCCTGGCACATGGTACTGACAATTCCTAAGCAGGTGGTATAGGTGGCCTGCCTTCACTGGATACTTCTGAAGTGATCAATACCCCTGGTCAAACACAACCTACCTCCCCTCTGCCCTGTAGGCAACTGTGGGGGTGTATGCTGCCTGGACTGAACCCAGAAAATATCAGCTTCTATAAGACACTCAGCCTGGAGTCACACAGGGCTAGAAGAACCAGTTATGGGAACTGGAAGCAATTCTCTTGGGAGTGTTAGGAAAAGGTAAGACATTCTCGCTATTTTCCCTATAGTGGTCTCTGAATATAAAGATACTTCTCAGTGGAGAAACTGAGTAGTGCCAGAAAAAAAAAATCTCTACTCCCTCGTATCATGAAAACATACCAATTCCATGAAGCATGTCTATAAAAGCCCACACCTAACCTCCCTCATGTCCCTAACTTCCTAGCTGTAGCCTGAAATCATTTCTATTACCGAAAGAGCACGCTGCAGGACCAGGGAAGCTGGTTGACCTCCAGGACACCCCCATATCAGGGCCACTAACAGTGTGTAGAAGCAAAGTCAAGATCTCAAGCAATGCACTCACATCTCAAGGGGCAGAAGGCTAGGCCAAGCTGCAGGCACCAGGGCTTATGGGTCATTTTTTTTTAATAAGATTTTTTTTTTTTTTAATTCATGATGGACATAGAGATAGAGAAAGACAGAGACGCAGGCAGAGGGAGGAGCAGGCTCCATGCAGGGAGACTGACGCGGGACTCAATCCTGGGACCCCAGGATCGCGCCCTGGGCCAAAGGCAGGGGCCAAACTGCTGAGCCACCCAGGGATCCCTTATAGGTCATTTAGAAAGTTCCTAAAGGAGGAGGATGAAGCTAAGATGCAAAATCAGACAGGTGGACAAACCCACACTGAAATTCCAGAGTTAAAGACCAGAGACTCACCGTAATGAAACCATAACCTTTAGAACGGCCTGTATCTGAGTCCTTCATCAAGACAATATTATCAATCTGTAGAGAGAGAGAGAAATTATTAACAATCTTTGGCTAACTCATACTCTTGACCTTTCCTGCCTGACTGTTCTACCCCTAACTCTGAAGCCAATCAATTACAAATCTCCACATCTTTTTATTTTTTTATATTTTATTTATTTGTTTAAGAATTTAGTTTTTTCTTAAGATTTTGTTTATTTATTTATTTAAGGATTTATTTATGATAAATAGAGAGAGCGAGAGAGAGAGAGAGAGAGAGAGAGAGAGGCAGAGACACAGGAGGAGGGAGAAGCAGGCTCCATGCCGGAAGCCCGACATGGGACTCAATCCCGGGACTCCAGGATCGCGCCCTGGGCCAAAGGCAGGTGCCAAACCGCTGAGCCACCCAGGGATCCCCAGATTTTATTTATTTATCCATGAGAGACACACACAGAGAGAGGCAGAGACACAACACTGGCAGAGGGAGACACAGGCTCCATCCAGGAAGCCCGATGTGGGACTCAATCCTGGGAGTCCAGGATCATGCCCTAGGCCGAAGGCAGGCGCTAAACCGCTGAGCCACCTGGGCTGTCCTCCACATCTTTTAAAAAAGAGACAAAGGCAACTTCCTTCCAAAACACCTTTTCTGACTAACCTTACCTTAGTATGAGCCCTGTTATTTGATTTTATGGTGCCTGACTCATTGGTGTACTGAACACTGAATGCAAAGATGGAGTCTAACTTTCCCCGCATAGACCCATACGTTTGTTCTGATGGATGCTGCCATCACGATGGTTAATCGTGGTCAGACAGAATGAAGAGGTACACTTACCCTCCCCACTTTTTCCAATTCCCTTTGAGGTTTCCATCACTTTCTACTCACTTTGCCAAAAGGCTCAAAAATGCCCCGGAGCATGTCCTCAGTGATATTGAAGTGTAGGGAACCCACATAAAGGCGCATTGGTCCACTACTGCCCTTCTGCAGGTTGTTGGCCATGGCTGCCAGCCGGTTTTTCTCAGCCTGAGCAAGAAAAAATTGATGAGTCACATCCCACACCTCCTCCCTTCAAGCCCATATTCTCATGTCAGTTTTGCAACCTGCTCACCTGCGAAGCCTGGACAATGATGGGCACTCCTAGCAGCCGCTGCCCAGTTAGCCCAATGGCCAGGGGCACAGACTGGATTTCACAGAATTCCACATATGCGATGCCCTTAGAACGACGGGAGTTCCGATCTGAGATGATTCGGACATCACGAACCTAATCCCGCAAGAAGGAAATCCTGAGTTGGGCATAAAGGAGGATGGATGGAAAATAGGGTACATGGAAGAAAACTAACGTCAGGGAGGTTACCTTGCCGACAGCAGAGAAAAAGTCCTCCAGGTCTCGAGGCCGAATGCGGGCAGCTAGCTGCATACAGAAAACTGTGCGGGCATCACGCTCCTCAGGACTCAGATTATCAATTGGCTCCCTAGAGAGTGAGCACAACTTCAGACACCCGCTCCCAAAACACAGTCACTGTTCTCTAGCTACCTCCTCAGGTACTATATGTTCCTATATTCTGGCTCAAACGGCTTTCTATTCATACCTCATGGTCTAGAAGAGCGTTCATCATGAACTCACCTGACGGGGCTCTTCTCTCTGAAATGGGGACTCTTACTGTGTGCATACCTGCGCCTACAGAACAGAGAACAAACAGAAAATCCTGTCATCCAACTTCACTCATGTTGGCTTGAGGCTCAGTCTTCCATCGTGAGATGACCAGATGCCGGCACCTCAGCTCACATGGGAATTCTCAAGACCACCCCTGTAAGTAAAATTCTCAAGACCACCCCTGTAAGTAACAAGGTCTCCCTCCTGCCCATCACATCAGGCTGGAAGCACCTGCATGTAGGAACCACTGCACAGCGGTTTTACCCAGACTACCACGTGAAAGCTGTTGTATTAGCAAAAGGTGGTACCCAGTGGCAAGTGGCGGGCTCCGGTAGCGCACGCGGTCCTCACGCCGCCGGTCTCGACTGCGTGACTCACTGCTGTGCCGCCGGTCCCAGCTCCGGCTGCGGTGGCGACGCTGCCGGTCTCGACTTCGGCTTCGGCTGCTTCTCCGCCTATGCCGGTCCCGGTCTCGACTACGACTACAAGTAGAGGCCACTACTGAGTTCACTACAGGACAAACCAACCTCTTCTAGTTCCTCTTTCCCTTTGTAGTGATCCTCAAAACCCAAGGGCCCCCAGCATTATTGACTGACCTGCGCTTCCTGTCCCTGCTTTTACTATGGCTCCGACTCCTCTTCTTCCTGTGAAGAAGGGGAAAAATCCTGATTACTAAGGAGGTTTTATGCTTTCCCCCAAGGAAAAGGAATGACGGAAAGACCCGGGTGGAAGAGCAGTAAAAGACCAAAGAGCCTAGGATGAGCTGGCAGGAGTTCACAGCAACACCAACTTGCACACAGCCCTGAATGCTGTGTGGCATCTAAAGTGGCCATTTCCCACCTCACCCCCTGCCAAAGCCCAGTAAAAGCAGTTGCTTTCAAATCAGGAGCCCCTCACTATTTTATTCAACAGAAACAATGATGCTAGAACAGATCCACAAGTCTATGCTGGAATGTGAAGACCAGAAGACCATTAAACCAAGTCACCATGATTCCCAGGACCCAGCATTAAAAATGAGCAGTCTTATAAGCAACTGCCTCCCTATTTTGGCCATTTCTCCGATGGACACAGTTGCCTCCCTTGCCCAAGTTGCCAGCCCATCTCTTTATGCCACACTCACTTGCTTGAGTCCCCACCAGCGCTGCTCCCACTGGTGCCACCACCACTGGTGCTCATCATGGTGCTCGTGCTGGTGTTGGCAGGGCCATCTTTTTTAACCTCTTTCCTTTGCTGTTCATCCTGAGAGGTTTGCCAGGAAAGATGTCAGAGGGTACAAGGTGGCAGACGCACATGTTCCATTGGGCAACAAAAGAACAGAAGTGGACAGAGAAGAAAGCTTATGAAATCAAAGCTCGCAATTATCCAGCCTGTTCCTGACCACCTGGGTCTCCTAACAAAGAGAATAACAGAACGGAGGAAACTACCTGAAAAGAAAAGATCAGAGTGACAGATTTTGATGTCAAAACTTTAGCTACCCGACATTGGTTCCACTGACATCTATTCCCCAGGAGAGTGAGAATTACTTAGGTCTAAGATACACTGACTTTCTACTGTGTCACTGATAGCTATGAGCAAAGCACTTATTCCTAGAACATTCTGCACCCCCCAAACCTTCTTCCACCCCCACCCCTCAGCTTTGGGACCCTCTCTGCCAGCATGCCTTTAGGATTAGAGCCTGGAGAGTGAGGCTTACTAAAAAACTATAACTTGGGATCCCTGGGTGGCGCAGCGGTTTGGCGCCTGCCTTTGGCCCAGGGCGCGATCCTGGAGACCCGGGATCGAATCCCACGTCGGGCTCCTGGTGCATGGAGCCTGCTTCTCCCTCTGCCTATGTCTCTGCCTCTCTCTCTCTCTCAATGTGTGACTATCATTAAAAAAAAAAAAAAAAAATTAAAAAAAAAAACTATAACTTTTATGAGTAGCAACGATACACAATAAATAATAAGTAAGCAGGAAAAAAGGATTTACAAAATGTTGAAACTGATGATCTATAACTGCTTCTTCTTAACTAACCCAATTCCAGGAGTTAGATGGGGAATATTACCTCCTCCTTTTTATAAGGAGCCTCCAGCATGGCCTCAATCACTATATCAAAGTCATCGGACGCCATCATAACAGATCTGAGGAGAGAACATGGATATATAAGAACCTATTTTTCTGCCCCTTTGGCACCCCACATCCCTTCCTTCTCCAAGAAACAGATTTCAGAATTCTTGAATTCCAAAGGGATCTTCCAGGCAGTTGCTTACTCTACATTTATTTTTGCACATTTTAAATCTGAACGTGTTTTGCTCTGGCTTAGAAAAGGTCAAGTGTCTAGAAAGAAAATATCTGGGCAGCCCCGATGGCCCAGCAGTTTGGCGCTGCCTTCAGCTGGGGGTGTGGTCCTGGGGCCCCGGGATCGGGTCCCATGCAGGGCTCCCTGCATGGAGCCTGCTTCTCCCTCTGCCTCTGCTTCTCTCTCTCTGTCTTGAATAAATAAAATCGAAAGAAAGAAAGGAAGGAAGGAAGGAAGGAAGGAAGGAAGGAAGGAAGGAAGGAAGGAAGGAAGGAAGGAAGGAAGGAAGGAAGGAAGGAAGGAAGGAAGGAAGGAAGGAAAGAAAGAAAGAAAGAAAGAAAGAAAGAAAGAAAGAAAGAAAGAAAGAAAGAAAGAAAGAAAGAGGGATCCCTGGGTGGCGCAGCGGTTTGGCGCCTGCCTTTGGCCCGGGGCGCGATCCTGGAGACCCGGGATCGAATCCCACATCGGGCTCCCGGTGCATGGAGCTTGCTTCTCTCTCTGCCTGTGTCTCCGCCTCTCTCTCTCTCTCTGTGACTATCATAAATAAATAAAAAAAAAAATTTTAAAAAAAAAGAAAGAAAGAAAGAAAGAAAGAAAGAAAGAAAGAAAGAAAGAAAGAATATCTAGATAGAAACAAAATACAATACAGACCCTGTCCTGTGAAAAGAAAGTGTTGGCACTCAAAATTACTATTCACTTGACAATGGACACTAGGTCTCCATTCTACAATTCAAAATTCTGTATAAATAATTGGTTTAGGGATCCCTGGGTGGCGCAGTGGTTTGGCGCCTGCCTTTGGCCCGGGGCGCGATCCTGGAGACCCGGGATCGAGTCCCACGTTGGGCTCACAGTGCATGGAGCCTGCTTCTTCCCCTGCCTGTGTCTCTGCCTCTCTCTCTCTGTGACTGTCATAAATAAATAAATTAATTAATTAAAAAATAAATAAATAATTGGTTTAAACTTAAATCACTGAAATGAGCACATATTCCCAATAAAAAAGTAAAGATGCAAGACTAAAAAATTAGGAACAAGACAAAACAACACCAGAATGCAGACCTGCCCTAAGCTCTTCCCCATACCCCCCACCCAAACATCAATAATTAAGGGACTCATCGTTAAACATGTCCCATACAATACCAAATAGAATTCAGGTAACTCAAAGATAATGATTCAGACAGGCTTAATCAATTCCACTTTGAAATCTGTCTAGGCAGGCAGAGTAAGACTTCATGCCTCCCTCAAGTTTTCACACCTAGCAATCATCTTTACCAAGTTTGGTAAATGCCTGTCAAATAAAAAAACAGATGATATCAAACAAAATCAACAGAATATTGGTCTGGAATTATCAATATACAGAACATGCATGAATCTCAAAATAATTATGCTGAGTGAAAGAAATAAAACAAAAAAAAAGTATAAACTTTTTGTGCTTCCATTTATAGGAAAAAATTCTAGGAAACACAAACCTGTAGAAAGCAGAAAGCAGATCACTGGTTGCCTAGGGATATGAAGAGGTGGGGAGAGGCTAAGAGGAAAAAAATCACAAAAGGGCAGAAGAAACTTTCGGGGTGTGATGGTTTCATGGGCGTTTAAATATCAAAACCCATCAAATTATACACTTTAATGTACATAAGTTTATTTTATGCAAATTATACTGCAATAAAGCTCAATAAACAAATACCTCAATACCTCAATAAATAAAAACAACTCCAACTAATCTGAAGAACTTCTGTGCAAAGGAGGCTGGTCACAATCAGACTTTCCATATCCACAAGAGCTTTGTCCTCTTTATTTTTTTAAAAGACTTTGAGAGAGTGACAGATTGCAACAAAGAAAGCATGAGCAGGGAGGACAGGTAGCCTGACTGAGGGCTTGACTCCAGCACTTTGGGATCATGACCTGAGCCAAAGGCAGACGTTTAACAGACTGAGCCACCCAGACACCCCAGCTTTGTCCTCTTTGAAAGAGCTGATCCAGGTACACCTGGGTGGCTCAGTGGTTGATGTCTGCCTTCAGCCCAGAGCATGATCCTGGGGTCCCGGGATTGAGTCCCACATCGGGGTCACTGCATGGAGCCTGCTTCTCCCTCTGCCTATGTCTCTGCCTCTCTGCCTCTCTCTGTGTCTCTCATAAAAAACAAAAAAACACACAGCTGATCCATCATCCAATGGTGTGGTTTGTCCTTGTTGTGCTCAGAGCCCATAGCCTATTTTGGTGATTTAAGAATAAAAGAGGAGAGAAAAAAAAAAGAATAAAAGAGGAGTATAAAAGTAATAACTAACATAAAATAAGTCCTGTAAAAATATGACTTATCATTCCCATAGTACCTGATATTGCTAGGCACCGAACTAAGCCTGTTACAGAAACAAGATTCTCGGAAAGAGTAAAACAAAAATTACTTGGAGCCAAATTTAAGACTTAAAATAGAAACCACATCAAAATCAAATAGGAGTGTCTAAGAACCAGTGAACCTGGGGTGCCTGGCTGGCTCAGTCAGTGGAGCTTGCAACTCTTGATCCCGTGGTTTTGAGTTCCAGCCCCATTTTTTTTTTTAAGATTTTATTTATTTATTTATTTATTTATTCATGAGAGACAGAGAGACAGAGAGAGAGAGAGAGAGAGAGAGAGAGAGAGAGAGAGGAAGAGACACAGGCAGAGGGAGAAGCAGGCTCTGATTGGAGCCTGATGTGGGACTTGATCCCAGGACCCCAGGATCACGCCCTGGGCTGAAAGCAGGCGCTAAACCGCTAAACTACCCAGGGATCCCATCCAGCCCATTTTTGAGCGTAGAGAGTACTTTAAAATCTTTTTTTAATCAAAGATTTTTATTTATTTATTTGACACAGAAAGAGAGTGCACAGACCTGGGGAGCAGCAGGCAGAGGGAGAGGGAGGAGCATACTCCCCGCTGAGCAGGGAGCCTGATGCAGGCTGATCCCAGGACTCTGGGATCATGACTTGAGCTGAAGGCAGATGCTTAACCTGAGTGCCACTCAGTCACCCCAAATATAAAATCTTTTTTTTTTTAAAGATTTTATTTATTTATTCATAGACATAGAGAGAGGCAGAGACACAGGCAGAGGGAGAAGCAGGCTCCATGCAGGGAGCCCCACGTGGGACTCGATCTGGGGTCTCCAGGATCACACCCCGGGGCTGCAGGCGGCGCCAAACCGCAGCGCCACCGGGACTGCCCCCAAATATAAAATCTTAAGCATCAACAAAAAAAAGCAGTGAACTCAACTACTTATTATAATTAACATGATATATTTCTATAACAGTCAAAGGTAATACATGCTACAAGCAGTTATCAGGTCCAATGCACAATGAAAAAACTGAGGTTTTGTAAACTACCTAGAGTCTCAAAGCTTAAATCGAAGAGCTGACTCCTGATTAAGGTCTCCTGCCTCAAAGTCTAATGTCTCATCAATTCTATCAGTCACCTCTCCTGTGCTTTATAACTCAGCCCCAAAGGAAATTTCAAAAAGAAGAATACACAGCATACCAAGATGTCTAGTTTTGGGTTTTTTAAAGATTCTATTTTTACGTAATCTCTACGTGAATCGTGGTGTCCGTCACCAGTTAGTCCCAGAGTCTCTCATGAATAAATAAATAAATATTTATTTGAAGTCTAATGTCTTAAACTCTACTGTCTCTCTCATGAGAGACACAGAGAGAGAGGCAGAGGGAGCAGGCTCCATGCAGGGAGCCTGGCAGCAGTGATTCGTTCCAGGGTCTCCAGGATCACTCCCCCGGCTGAAGGCGGGGCTAAACCGCTGAGCCACCGGGGCTGCCCCAATAAATAAGAAATCTTAGAAAAAATAAAATAAAATAAATAAGAGGTTTCAATCTATCATTTCCATTATTTCTAGTCATAATGGCTGCCAAGTCTATACAAAGTTTTCTTTATTTCTTTCTCTAAGAGTATTTCTTTATTTTATTTTTTAGTTGTTTATTAAGAGAAACTATTCCATAACCCAGTGCTCGTGTTTCATAGCTCAGGAACACAGGACAGTCAAGCTTCAATTAAACGCAACCCAAAGGAATTCTTTATATTCCACATTCACTTTGCACTCTGAAAGATACCAGCCTTCTTCATCTCCTCAAAACCTTTCATGGAATCATAATTTCTGTAGAAATCTGCGTATGCCTTCTTTCTTGGTTCAGCCACAGCAAACTTATAAAAAGCTGCAACCCGCAGGGATACAGCGAAGGCTCCAACAATATGAAATCGCAGACGCTTGGCCAGAAGGCCTCCCATCTGAGGTTTCATTAAAGCACTTGAAGTCATGGTAGTTATTCTCCTCAAACCTAACGTCCTTCCTAAGAGAATTAAAAGTATTTCTTTATTTAAATAATCTCTACACTCACTGTGGGGCTAGAATTTGCAATTCCAAAGTCAAGAGTGGTACACTCTTCAACTGAGCCAGCCAGGTGCCAAGTCATACAGCTAGCTCCTTTTTATTTTTTAAAATCTGCTTTTTCCTCACCAAACGAAATGCTTCTGATTTCAATAACTGCTCTTTGTTGACTGCTAGTATAGGGTAGGAGTAACTTAACACATACACAAGAACTTTCACTTAAGTTGACAGTTCTTGTGACACCACCTACAAAGAAAACTTTTCACTCAGGTACTCAGAAATGAATGAATCTATTTAAAGCACCAACATAGGGATCCCTGGGTGGCGCAGCGGTTTGGCGCCTGCCTTTGGCCCAGGGCGCGATCCTGGAGACCCGGGATCGAATCCCACGTCGGGCTTCCGGTGCATGGAGCCTGCTTCTCCCTCTGCCTGTGTCTCTGCCTCCCTCTCTCTCTCTCTGTGACTATCATAAATAAATAAAAATTAAAAAAAAAAAATAAAGCACCAACATACATAACACGAGCACACTTTGAAACTTGAAATCTCACTGGGTTTGGCATATCTTTTCAAGTCCCAAATACTATGTATTTTCAAATTGGTAGTTTTCAAACTCTTCCTATGTCCTAAATTACGGGTCAAAGTCCATCAACCCCACCCATTAAAACACTATAGAGCCTACTTCCACCCCTGGCTCCAAAAACTCCATTGTGGGAGGCCCACAATGAATGCAAGTGCCTGGACTTTGTCATCGCACAGTCAAGACCCCAGCAAGCACTTAGGCCTCACTGCTAAAGGGACAAAGGACAGTGAAGAACCACTGTCCGCTCAGTTCAGGCAAAATTCACCACGCTGAGTCCCACAGGGTGATGCGTCCAGGCAGCTGGGCAGAAACATCTCCAAACTGAAGGCAGCTTAATTTGGAACAGGAACAGTGAGAAAGGTAAAACAATCCCCGTGCTGTGCAACAAGCCAAGGCTACACGTTTAAAAAGCGGTCCTGTAAGTAATGATTGGCACCATCTCTGCGAGGGCCAATGTCCCAATGCTAAAACCTGCTATGTGGCCTAACTATACTGTACCGCCAAAGAACGTGTGGTCAAAAAAACGGGACCAGGGAAAAGCCCAGAGACCAACACAGTGACCACGAGCCTTCCGGAGACTGAAGACTGAGTAATCTCTCACAGAGTTCCCTCACCTCTCTGAGTGGTGGCACTAAGAGCTGAAAACCGATCCTGCGAGCCCTCTCAAACCGCGGTGGGTCGATGCTCCCTGCACGCCCGCGCCCCGGTACCGGCGACCCCGAAAGTCAGGGCTGGGACCTGGAAAGAGCGGTCACTGGGATCCTTGGGACAACATCATCCCTAAGAGAGAGAGCCAAGAGGGTACCGATCCCTAAAATCATGCCGGCGGGCTACAGTTCGCTACACTGAGGTGGCGAACACTTCCAGACCGAAGTAAGCAAAAATATCTTGTTAAAAGTTTGCCTGATTCGGCTCTTGACGCCATTTTCTGCCTGTGACGTCAAGGGGAGGCGCCGTGCGGCAACGTCACGCATTGGTGACGTCGCGGGGGACCGGGTTTCGGGGTTTCTCACCAGTTCCGGGTCCCCGCAGGGGGGTCCCCGGTTTCCGCCGTTCCTTTGGGTGTGTTGAGGGCGCGAAGCACGGCTATTTTCCAGAGTCTCAGCAGTAGAAGAAGCACCGCAGCCAGAGCTGCTAGTCTTCCCGCAAAATGGCGGCAGCTCCGCGGTCTTCCAGAACTTTCCCCAATCTGCGCAGGCGCCGAGACATTCAGGCGGTGGAACTAATCTCCCTGGTTTCGCGGCAACAGTCCAAAGTACAGATTTTCATTGGCCAAAACCCTAAGCATGGGTGGAGCCAAGCTCAAACGTCTCTTAGCAACCATTAAGTTCCCCTCGATTGGCTAGCCTCTCGGAGAGCGGAAGCGTCCTAAAAGCGGCCGCCCATCGCTCTCCCATTGGCTAGATGACTTGCGGAAGGCGGAGAAGGCGGGCAAAGAACCAGCAAGGACCCTCCTGCCTCCCTCCCGAGCTCCAGGTGACGAGGAGGTACAATGGACTTCTTTGCTACTTTCCCAAAAGGGTCACGTGCCGTACTCCACCGCGACAGCTTCGCGGAGAGCGCTTGCATTTGTTTCACGCCGCCGGGAGGGATGTTGGGCTGGACTTTCCCCTTCTGAGCGTGTGCTGGCCACGCAGCCCTCCCAACTATGTCCTCTTACCCTCGGTGCTTGGACCCGGGAAAACACAAGTGTTGTCACGTTTGTCTAATTTCACACTGTCTTGTGGTTATTGCCTGGTCCCGCAGCTACACACTTCCCTATTTTTAGTGTATGTGCTGCCGGAGCGAGCACAGCTACACACTTCGCACTGCAAAAGTAAACCTGGAAGTTTCTCAGGTGACTCCTTGGGTACAGCAATACTCAGCCCTCTAACCAGAAAGAGAAGGAACTGATGTCCACTCTCACGTTCCAAGGGGATCCAGAATCCTCACACTTTAGTTGCCCAATATATTAGCTGACAGAAACATAGCTGGTTAGATCATTGAGAGAGCCACAGAGTTAGAGGATCTGTGTTCCAGTCTTGATTTGAATATTATATATCTTTCTGTCAGTTTCAAATTCCTCCTGTATAAAATGGAGAATTGGCACTCTTACAACTTCAAACTCTAACCTTGTGACTTTATTCAAATAAAATAGGTGGCTTCTTGTTGGAGGTGCCTGAATGGCTTCCAGTTTTCCTCCCAAGAGGTAGCTGGCAGTGCAGCAGCTCAGGAAAGCAGAAGGGAAGCTGGCTTCACTCAATACTACCATCTTTCTCCACGAGGGCAATCTTTTCTCCCCAGAGAAAAGCCTAATCACAGATCTTAATGGACCTCTTTGCAGCTGGTCCCAAAGACCTACACCCAGGAGTCCAAGAGTGGCCATTAAGCTTCCTATATACGGAACAAAGATCCTTTGGGTCTTGGATAAAAGCACAGATCTGAATATGCCTAGGTTTAAGTAAGGTGTAAGAAAGCAAAGGCGCAGGGCAACAGAGTTGGAGCAGGAAAAGGCTGATAACTTCACTTTATTTGTATTTCCTCCCACACAAAACCATCAAAACAGAAACAGAGATGGGCAGGGAAAGGGATGAAAATGTGTTTAATCCACATGTTCTCAGGGCTATTCCAGGGAGTACTTGAGGCTGAGTGCCTGTTGGAGTAACTTCAGATCCAGCACAAATTCCTCCCTCCCTGGCCTGAAGTCTTTACAGGTTGGTGGCCTGAGCCCTGCAATTAATTCTCATCCTTTGCCCACCTTGCTGTAAGGCAGGAAAGCAGACTGAAATGCTCCGCTCTGATGGGCAAGGGGAATCACAGCCCACAGATGTACTGCACTCTCTGTGCTTCAGGAGCGGAACTTTAAGCTGATTCCAAGGCTCTGAACATTGTAGGCAGGGCTAGAGGCCAATGGTGTATGAGCGGCCTGTGGGGTTATGAATAGCAGAACAGACTGGTGCTGTCACAGCCCACTCATACCACACCTTCTTGGAATTGCTGCATCGCCAGAAACGCACACAGATGGTCTGGCCTTCACGTACTGTAATGGGCTGCTGCAAGAAGAAAGACAGAGAAGTTTAAGGTAGAACTAACGAACTGTATATTGCAATATACCACTGAGCTAAGCGTGGAGAGAAAAGGATAAAACCTGACATTCCAATCCTCATGAAGTTTATTTGAAGTCTTTCAGAATGAATAATCAGAACTTCACAATCAGACATTGAACAGAAAATCAAAAGTGTGATGAGGGCCATGAACATGCAGAGGATATGCACTACAAGAGCACCTAAGAGAGGGAACTCGAACCTAGTTCTGTTGGTCAGGGAAAGTTATCAGACAAGAGGAATGTTTAAGGGGACCAGGAAGATAAGTTAGCTGGGTGAAGAGATGAACAAAGAACTTTCCAGGCAAAGGAGAAAAGTGTGAAAACCTGAGGCAGGAAAGAAGACTGTATTAGAATCCTGATGAGTACTGAGTAATGTACAGATATGCTGAATTATTATGTTGTATACCTGAAACTAATAGAACACTGTTCATTATAGTTCAATTAAAAAAAAAAAAAAAAAAAAAAAAAACAAGGTCCACAGGGGTGACACAATGTAATCAAGGAGATAGTAGCTGAAGAGACAAGCTAAAACTAGATTATACCGAGTCTTACAATGTTAAATCTTTATCCTGAAGGCAGTAAGAAGTCACTAAAGGTTTTTTCCTTTTTTAAAGATTTATTTATTTGAGAGAGACACACAAGCTGGAAGGACAGGGAGAGGGAGAGAGAATTCCAAGTGACTCCACGCTTAGCACAGAACCCAACACCAGCATTTGGCTCAATTTCAGGACCCTGAAATCCCAATCTCAGACAAAACCAAGAGTCAGACACTTAATTGACTGGACCACCCAGGAGCCCCAAAGTCGTTGAAAGGTTTTAAGCAGTACAGAATTATGATCAGATTAAAAGATGACTCTTGCTCAAGGTAGAGATTGGACAGAAGAATAGACAGAGGAAATGTGGGAAAGCCAAGGAGAAAGGCAATAAAAACATCTCAACACCTGTAACAGATCCACGAGTATGTGGGAGCAGAACATGGGTCATAGTCAAGCATCATCTTGAGAATAGGAAAGGGGCAGAACACCAATGGCAAAAGTGACACCTTAACCCACTGAGTCTGAAAGGTGATTCCTGGGACTCCTGGGTGGCTCAGAGGTTGAGCCGCTGCCTTTGGCCCAGGGCATGATTCTGGAGTCCCAGGATCGAGTCTCGCATCGGGCTCCCTGCATGGAGCCTGCTTCTCCCTCTGCCTGTGTCTGCCTCTCTAGGTCTCAAATAAATAAATAATAAATAAATAAATAAATAAATAAATAAATAAATAAATAAATAAATAAATAAAATTAAAAAAAAAAAAAAAAAGAAAGAAAGAAAGGTGATTCCTACCTTGATGGGGAAGAGGATGGGAAACCATGAGAACATCCCAGGAGAGTGAGTTTCTGGACGGATACCTGTGTGAAAAAAATAATGAAAAAAACTGAGGTCTCTGTGACTCTTCTTTTTGCCTGGATTGAGGGGAGTGTCTTCTGTGAACAGAGAAACAAGTAATCTAAGATCCACACTCACTGATTCCTAGGCTCCCTGTGACTCTAAATGAAACATCTACATAAGTTGCCCAGATAACATACTCATAGCGTGCCATCCTCGGCCCCAGATACTCACTTAGGGGGATCCCTGGGTGGCACAGCAGTTTGGCGCCTGTCTTTGGCCCAGGGCGCGATCCTGGAGACCCAGGATCAAATCCCACATCGGGCTCCCGGTGTATGGAGCCTGCTTCTCCCTCTGCCTGTGTCTCTGCCTCTCTCTCTCTCTCTCTGTGACTATCATAAGTAAATTAAAAAAATATATATTAAAAAAAAAAAAGATACTCACTTAGGGTGATGTCCTGATAAAGCACAGTCTCAAAGTAGCCTGCAAAGCCATGTAGCACTGTATTCACCTCCACGGGAAACTCCAAGGTGCAGTAGCGGTTGTTGTCAATCATAGGATCTGTTAGGGAGGAGTTGTGTGGATGACAAGGGACTAGAAGCTCTAGACAACTTGGTAAAGCAAGAACAAGAACTAGCAAGGGCAGCTTAGAGAGAGTAGACCCAGGATCGCAAAAGAAGAAACCACAAAGTAAGCTTTCAGCCATCCAGTCAAGAGGACAGCCACACAGGAACCCACCTCTATTGGGATGGCTGAAGGTGAAACAGGGCTGGGGCGCAGACAACTGGTGGAAGTTGTGCAGCCGCACCACATAAGGCATCTCGAACTGGGCCTGTCCCAAGAGACCGAGCAAGAGCTGAAGCAGATAGGCAAGACATCTACTCCCCCAGGTAAAGAAGCCTGGGCGTCCAGGACACAGAAAAGGATAAAAATAAAAATTTTTAAAAAATTAAAAAAATAAAAAGAAAAGGATAAAAATATTTTCACTTTTTCACTTCAGTCACTTTCCCACATCCCCATCTCTTCCTTCACCTCTTCATTTTCTCCAGTGGAAGCAAACAGTTGATGCTAATATAGAAAAAAAAAAAAAAGAGGACTAAAAAGAAAAGAGCTCTCCAGAAGAGAGTGGCTTTTTACCTCAGGGTCTCGATCCTTTTCTCGACAGGCTCTGACCTCATTGTATAACTTAGAGGAGGAGATGGGAGCCAGAAAAGAGGTGTACTCCCCAGGGATGCTCACACCATCATCTGCAGAGCAGGAGGATCATATAAGTTCCGAAGAGATGAAAATGGTATGTCTAACCGAAGGTTTAAAGCTCCCACATCAAATAGACCCAGGCAGGGGCACCTGGCTAGTTAAGTTGCTAAGCTGGTGAAATGTACAACTCTTGACCTCAGGGTCGTACGTTCAAGCCCCACGTTGGGCATGAAGCCTACTTAAAATAAAAATTGAAAAGAAAAACAAAACAAAACAACCCCCAAAACAGACCCAGGTAGCTCAATGTTGTCACATTCCCAGGCCAACCTACTTCCAACCCCTGTCACGGGAGATTCTACTTCTAGGTTAACTTACAGAGACACACAAGATTAAAACTGGAAAAAAACCCTAAGATATTCTGATCTAATGGTTCTTCTCTGGGGTCTTAGAGCTCTTAGAGATCTGGATGAAAGCTAAGCCCAAGGTATGTATCATGTCAGTATAGGGAGTCCACAGATCTCAGACTAAGAATCTCTAATCTAGTCCA